TTCCAATAATATATTTCCCTATGGGATGGGGAGGGGGATGAAGGCATTTTTTTCTTTGTAAAATTTTATGAGAAATTTTTTTCGTCCCATGAGGATTCATGGAGATTCATATATAATAAAGAAAATATAAATTTATATATATATATTTATAAATATATTACCAATTAATTTTTAGTCACCTAATTCAATTGGCTAACCGAATTCAATTTAAATTGCCTAGCCCCAGCCCAATTCATTGTCCAATCTTCCCAAACTCAATTTAATACAATAAGGAAACTACAAATTGCAAATTATAATTGCCAATTGTATGTTCGCAGCTAATTGCCAATTGCAGGTTGCAGTTTATGTTTTTTTTTTTTTTTTTTTTTTTGTCCATGAACATGCTGCTGGAGCTGGAATGTTAGACATGTATGGTAGTATGTATTTGCTTGTTGCAACTGGACATTGCTTTGTTGGATTGTATATGTAATGTATTTAATTTGTTTGAGTTGTTTTAAATTTTTATTTTTGTAATATATAGGGAAAAAAATTGTTAAATTTTATATACTTGATATTTGGTGGATAATCCGTATACTTGTGGAAACCCATCATTCCTTGTGGGTATGAGAATGGAAACTATTTTTGACTTCCCACCAAAAATCCCTGTAAAGATCCTTATATCTGTCATTGGCGCGAATGAAAATGGGGTGGGGGTCCCCGCTCCATGGAGACCCGTTGCCATCCCTATTCTTAAGCAATTTTAGGAGTGCACTCCATAGACATTGGCCTCAATACTTGAAACTTGAATCTAGCTAACCAGACAACACTTATTTACTAGTTAGCCTGGTGTATTGGCCTCTAGGGTTATATTTTAAGTCCTTGATAAAACCATTAAATCTTTACCAACTCAACTATGAGTTTAAGGCAAAAGCAATTGGATGGGGGAGGCCCCCTAAATGTGACGGCAATCATCCCTTTCACTGGTTTCAGTTCTGTAGTCGAGCACATTATGGGCTTTAAAATTGTTAGGTGCAAGCTCTTTCCTTGATTATTTTACACCACAAAATGGTGAAATTGTGGTAGGTGCTAATTGTTATTTCATTTAACACTATTTATTGTAGAGGATAGGAAAATGCATATTAGTCTC